ACCGTTTTTTTATTACGGAGTAATTATGGCTGGTCTTAAATAGTCCATTCAAAATGGTTGGTGATCATTTAAATAAGCTGAAGTTAAAAAAGTTGAAGTTGCCTTCTTACATCGCCACTACAGTTCAAACACAACACCACAAACACTGATCACTGCTGATCTGGTTAGCCAAATAATCTCATCCTGCCCACACACAATGAATGTACCTGGAATGGCGCCTATCTCCATGCCTTCCCGAATCGGCTGCCGCCTCTTCATCCTGCGCATCTTTTTGCGGGGGTTTACGTGGTCGGCTCTTCATGTGCTGGTCGATTGATTTCTGAACAGGAACAGGAATTCGTGGGAACAACGTTGAGAACCATTCCAGCTTGGTCAGGAAGGAGCGGAGCATCTCTCCGACCGTCATTACGCACCCTCCTCCAGCCTTCACGTCCAACTCCTGATCACAAAAAACAAAGAGGAGCAAAACCATTAAAACTACAATCACAAACACGAAGAACACACTCAGACATGCACTTATCACACGACCTCTGGTATACAGGTTAACGCTAATAATTAGACTTTACACTGTCCTGAATGAAATGCTTCATTTGTGATGACCAAATACTGAGTCTTCACCTCTGCTCTCACCTGACTTAATTTTCAGTATTTTTGTTGTTTGTTCCACCGACCGCCATCTTGGACTTTATAGTAACAAATAATCATTATGTATACAAAAGGAATACCATCATTTAAATACCTTGATCACTAGCTAAAAAAGGTGCTATTTCATAATGGACCTTTAGTGCACCTTTAACATAAGTGGAAATCCTAAGAGACTTACATTTTCTGTCTTTCTACTTTACTTTTTATAGAAAATAGTTTATTATATTGATTTTCAATAGATCAAAACTGCATGACTGAGCTTCAAAATAATTAGCTTCCACAATGTCTCTTACTATGCAATGACTCAAAATAGGTGCGATGCAGAGGAGGTCGTAGGTCAGCTGACATATATATGCTGTACCGGTGCGTGTGAAGGGGTGGAGTGGGTGGGTGAGCTTGTCTAACTGCACTCACGAACGCCAGCCAAGAGTGTGGAGCACACCCTATATCCAATCCACCCGCATCACAAGGGCCATCTGGGAGAGAGAACAGGGCAGTCAGCCAGAGACACACATAACCACCACCATGCCTGGCAGCAATTTCTGCTCAAAGCAAATTAGATCTCCTTTTCTGGACTTTTTAAAAAAATGGATAATATATTACCAACTTGTTTACAGGTGAGAGTGGGCATGCAGGAGCACAAGAGATGAGCCAGCATCCAGTAATGGATATCTGATATTTACGGTCAAACATAAATGTCTCTATGAATCACGGAGGCATGCTGCCATATACACACTTACCTGGGCTAAGAGAATATTGCATGCAATTTAACACATTTAACCACAGAGGAATAACTATGGAACTTCACATCTAGCTCAAAGGACCATTTGCTAAGAGTTTGTGCTGATCTCAGAACAGACATGGCATACCCAGTGAGATAAGAAACCAGTAATCTAAAGTCTTGGGTAAACTTGCCACCACACACACAGTTGTAACTGTGTATCTCAAGAGCAACATTAAGCCAAATGAGGTCAAAGGTTGAAGGACAGCAATGTGCATCACAATCAGCATTTGGCCTAAAGCTTACTGGTTACAATTGGGTACATTAGAAATAAGAGAGAGATGAAGGCATTACCCGTGGTGACATACCTCCTCGTCGTCAAGGAACTCATCATACCAGTCAACCAAGTCAGAAGGTGGTTGAGTATACCTACAATACACAGATTTGACATTATAAATGTGTATTCATTGAAGCCAGAAAATATGCATCATCCAAACAAACAATGTAGCTTGACCTAAATACTTACGAAATTACCATCACATATACAGCAATTTGATTACATCTGCTCAACATATTCCTTTGCTAAATTCAACGCTAGAATTAGATTATTCAAAGTAGTTCACCCACATGAACCTCTATGGCAGTGTTAAAAAACAAAACATGAAGTGACTTCTGAAAGTTACTAAAAAACCCCACAAAAAACAAACAATTTAGGTAATGTTATGTGTTCTGAGTCATACCTGATGTACATGAAGCCCAGTGACCTGATATAGGGCGAATCTGTGTGAGTGATGAGACCCATCACTTGTTTGCGGGTCAGTTTCAGTGTAAATAGCTTATACAGCAAGCAAAATGAAGTGGACACAATCCCACCCGTACCGACTCCTCGAACCTGCAAGACAAACATCATGAGTCCTACAGCTAGACTTATTTCCTGCTTAAGTGAACCTCTCCCTTGATTTAATCAAAATGACAGAGGATGGGAGGATAAAGTCGAGGAGGTCTCAAGGCACGTACTTCTACTTACCCCTCCGCACATTCCCGTCTGCCCTGCGGTCTTCCTGCTGCCTTTTTCCCATGGCTCCATATGGGTGACCTGAGAAGGAAGTCAGATGATTAGAGGAAAAATACAACTCAATCCCAAGCTAACCTTCTTTCAAACCTAGATTCTACAACTTACTGTTAATATGCTACTTAAAGCTAATACTTTAAAATCATAAATAGTGGGAAAAGAGTTCACAATCTTTTGCATTTTGTTTATTTATTTTGCAACAGTACTGGCTAATAGAAAGATACTATATTTTCCGTAGTAACAATAAAGGGCCGTTCATACAAAGGACGATAACTTTAATTTAGTCGTTGTAATTCTATGAGAATAGGGAAGTTCACACCACAACTATAAGGACAGAGGAATGATATCGTTGGAATCACTCTCAGAACGATTATTTGTGACCCTGGACCACAAAACCAGTCTTAAGTCATAAAAAAAACAAAAAAAAAAACCTTGCTACGTTTACTGCATTAAGCTAACTGAGACTTGTTATAGCACTTGCATATCATAGCTCTTTTGTTGATTTTGATTGCTTCCATTGTCTTCATTTGTAAGTCGCTTTGGATAAAAGCGTCTGCTAAATGTCTAAATGTAAATCGCATGGGTATATTTGTAGCAATAGCCAACAATACATTGTATGGGTAAAATTATTAATTTTTTTAATGCCAAAATCATTAGGATATCAAGTAAAGATCATGTTCCATGAAGATTTTTTAAAGATTTTTTCTTACCATAAATATATCAAAACTTAATTTTTGATTAGTAATATGCATAGCTAAGAACTTCATTTGGACAACTTTAAAGGTGATTTTCTCAATTTTGATTTTTTTTGCACGCTCAGATTCCAGATTTTCAAATAGTTGTATCTCCCCAAATTTTGTCCTAACCTAACAAACCACACATCAAAGGAAAGCTTATTGATCAGCTTTCAGATGATGTATAAATCTCAATTAAAAAAAAAAAAAAAGAGACCCTTATGACGGGTTTTGTGGTCCAGGGTCACATTTCTCCAGCTTTTGAACGACAAAATACACTGAATGTACGGTCATTCTGTCTATAGTATACAAAATACTTTGTGTGTTCTAATAAGTAGCTTAATCTTACTGGTTTGGACCAACGAGTGGGTAAGTTCATAATGACACAAATTTAATTTCTGAGGTAACTAACTATTCATATAACGTTAGGCATATTTTGAACTAAAGCTAGTTAGCACAATTAGCCTCCATGGACTAACACGGCCTAGTTCAGCTCACGTAATACTACATTTAAATCAAAAGACAATTATTTAAAAACTATTTAAGCCTAACAGGAAAAAAAACAACCAATGAGCAATACTCGAATCGACAATGTAACACAAATAAGAAAACCGCAGGCTTCACGCTCCTCGGCCCGGGTTAATTTCGCCACCTTGAAGTATATCTCGTCCACCACCTCATGGTACGTCTTGAGCTCGTACAGCTGGACCTTGAAGTATGGCGACGACAGGACGTTTGTCAGGATCATGGGGTTGAGGTTCATAGTCTTCTCGTTGCCCCATAACGGCAAGACGTTACCATGTTTCCCGCCGGCCGGTTTGCTCACGGCCTGCTGCTGCTGTTGACTAACCGCCATGGCAGTTCCTTCACAACGCCATTAAACTACTAAACGAAAGGAAACGACCGTTGCCCCAAAAGAATATGGCGGCAACGCGTTCAACGAGCTGCGCGAGTGGCGGACCGACGTCTCTTAATTCATTCGAACTTGATTTTTGGATCGTTTGATCGTATTCTCTGCGATTAGAAGACGCACGCGAAGCGTTCAGTTAACGACGTTTCGCCGAGTTGTGGGGACAAGATGGCGCACGGAAGAGGGGCGGCGGAAAGGGACGCAAGGCTGGGGTTGCCAAGTTGTCACAGTAAAATGCTTATATTCTGTATGTTCTTATATCTGTAATGTTGTTTTTAAAATCATTAATAAAATATCTATGTATTTCTGTGTGAAAATAAAAACAGTGGGGTTCGTCTACAGGTGGAAAAAAGTTAATCGCTAACTGCATTGCTTAGGTGTTTTACTCAGGACTTGGCAACACGATCCTCCAGCGTGGTTTACAATAGCTTGTACCTGACTGCAGATGTCTTGCAGAGTCCATATAAATACTGTTGAAGGTGCTTATGTTTTTCCATGTGCTCTTGGTGTTGTGTGGCAGTAACGCTCCAAATTTACTTTAAGGCCAAGGCTGCATGTTTTTAAGATGTGTTTATTATGATTATGGGACATGTATACCAACTAGCTTAATATAATAAATAATATAGATGTAAACTGTGCATCACCAGCTCAATTATAACAATATTTATTTCAGATGTGCAAAGACAACTACCCAGCATAGCGAGGGGTGAGAACCAGAAGGGCATAAGTGACATTTTGGGTGAAATGGAGATATACAGTGGGTACGGATAATTTTGGAGTTATTCATTAGAAACCAAAAGACTTAACTCTGAACATACTAAGCCTGTTGGTTTTTGTTTTGGCCCTCCTGTAAAGCCCTTCTGGTTCTCACCCCTCGATAGTAAGTTAGCAACAAATTAAAAATACAGAATCAAATACTTAAATTATATAACAGTTTTATTTTATTTTTTTAAACAAAATGTATTCTTAAAATGCAACATATTAGAGTGAAGCACATATATTGCATGTTGAATTTTGTCTAAAAGTATTTATGTATATACTTCATGACCTTTATGATTTGAAACATCAGATATATCATAAATCTTTATTTTCTTTATTTCTTTGACTTCAGGTTTTTCTATAGTTTGACAGTTGTCGCTATCAGAAAGCCTGAACACATAAATTCAATTCATGTTATATACATTCTTAAAAATATTACAGTTTTGTAATCTACAATATGAAATGATAAACAGCCCTTTTTTATTAGCCTTTAAAATTGGCATGTTCTTTCAAACACATTTTTGCAGTAATAAACTATAAAATATCCCACATTTACAAACCCCTTTCAAAAAACACAACAGCATTAAATAGATCCTAAATAGGTCTTCAACGTCTCTCCTTAGCTGAAAAGGAATGCCTGTAAAATGAATTTGGATTATGCCATTTTAACAAACAGTCCACTATTTGCAGCGTCCATCCCTGTGCAACTTGTGGTTGAGTCTTGTTTATGATGACAAAATGCTGACAGCACTAAACTGGGATCTTAGAAACGGACTCATTTGTGGGTCACTTTGACTGGGTGTTGAACCAACAGCCACCTACAGTACAGACCATCTTAGCTGTCATCTGTTTACTGTACATTTATACAGTTTTCTTTTAAATCAAAACATCTGTAACATTTTAATTTGACCATTATGGATGGTCTCACAAAAAGACAGAAATATGATTTCAAGTTGACCACTTGAAATCATGAGTAAATTAGTATACTTGATTATTATTATTATTTTTTTTTTTAAATTAGCAGCATCCAACCCAGGAAATATCAGACAATCCAAAGTGCATCAGTCTGTGTCAGTGGATTTAAAAAAAGTTGATCTTTACATTAAAAATAGTCCTGAATCTGTAACATGTCTTTTCAGTTCCACCAGTGGTTCCAAGTGTTTTTTTAAAGTGTCTGTGAGAACTATAACTATCTATTTTTGGTAAAAGAATACCAATCCAAGTATTTCCTGTTACTTTGAGCTTAAGCAAAGCTTCTGTCTGTCTTCAGAGCTTTACCACTAGGGGGAGCAGTGATTCCACAAATTCCTAGAGCCCATGTGTCAGGAGCCCAGAATAGAACTGCTACTTGTGATCGAAGACAACTGCTGTCCTCTCGTTTGACACAGGATATTACATCACCTTCCCCCACGGACGTTCAGTCTAGCGTTTTATAACCACCTGTTCAAAAGCTCCTGCACCAACCCTGAATGATGGAAAGAGAGAGACAAGGCATTATATTACATTATATTACATTACAGAATTACATTACCACAGTCTGCAATTTTATGATATTGTCAGAGTTCATGTAACATTATATTTCTCTGTAATCTGCTTCTTATAATGCAAAACACAATGACCATGTATCACACAAGGACGGCATAAGGGATAATGCCAGTTGCCGTGGCGACCTTGGGGCAGGGAAAGTTACATAATATATCTCACCTGGTGTGTTGAGAGCCCAGTGCAGTGCTGCCTCCTGGCCCAACAAACAGTCGCAGACCCTCCTCTGCAACACACATACATATTTATTTTAGACATCATTCAGTTGGTGCAAAGGCTTAAAGGGGGGGGAAAAATAGTGCTGTCAAACGATTAATCGCATCCAAAATAAACGTTTTTGTTTGCATAATATATGTATGTGTGCTGTGTATATTTATTATGTATATATAAATACACACACACACACACATTCATGTATATATTTCAAAAAAATATGTTATGTTTATATATTAAATATATTTATTTATAATATAAATGTTATGAATGAGCAATATATATATATATATATGCGATTAATCGCATCCAAAATAAAAGTGTTTTTTTACATAATATATGTGAGTGTTCTGTGAATATTTATTATGCATATATAAATACACACACATGCATGTATATATTTTGAAAATATTTATATGTATTTAAATGTACATATGTATATTCATATTAAATAAATAAATTCATATTATTTAAAAATATATTTAATATATAAATATAACATATTTTTCTTAAATATATACATGCATGTGTGTGTATTTATATATACATAATAAATATACACAGTACATACACATATATTCTGTAAACAAAAACTTGTATTTTGAATGTGATTAATCGTTTGACAGCACTAATATAAACCCTCATGTCAACTGGTGGATGATAAAAAGGCCAAAAACATCCCTAATGATACCATAATGATATACATATATAAGAAGTTCCTTAGGCTTATCAAGACTGCATTTATTTGATCAAATACAAGCAATATTGTGAAATATTACAATTTAAAACAACTGTTTTCTATTTTAATATACTTTAAAATATTATTTATTTCTGTGATACAAAGCTGAATTTTCATCAGCCATTTCTCCAGTCTTCAGTGTCACATGATCCTTCAGAAATAAAAATATAATTTTTGAATAAATAAATGCAGCCTTTATGAACATAAGAAACTTATTTAAAAACATGAAAAATCTTACTGATCCCAAACTTTTGAACAGCAGTGTATATTACATTAGTTAAACTAATAATGAATAGTAACAATATTTTAAGATTAGTCATATCAATCTCAGCACTTACAAATTTTTTGCAATTAAGTTTTATTTGTTAACATTAAAATAATGCACTGCGAACAAACATTAACAAACAATGAACAATTCTATTATAATTATATTTTTACTAACGAAAGTTGAATAAATACTTTAGAAAATATATGGCTGATTATTAGTTCATGTTAGCTAATGCATTTACTTTTTAATGTTAACAAATGGTACCATTTTACATTACTGGCCCCCCGACTGAGCCTGGTTTCTCCTAAGGTTTTTTTCTCCATTAATAAGGTCTAATTTTTTAACATTAAAAAGTAAAAGCGTTAGAAAACATGAAACTAACGAGATGTTTGAAAAGATGTTGTGGCAACTAAGTTTAAAGTTGCTGACTCTGAGGTCTATCCATGAGTCAGAGAGAGAGAGAGAGAGAAGAGGGGAAATTTAACCATCTGTTTGTTTGAGACGGTAGTAACCATAGTAAACATTCATCTTACAAAGCCACAATGTGGTGCATATTAAAGTGCAACTGAGCATCTGTGGTAAAACACAACTCAGAATTTCCTTATCCAGAGTTTGCGTCTTGTGAATGCATTGAGCGCCAACTATGGGACAGTGGAATACAGTGTGCTGTGATGTGAAGGTCTGTGTGAGCTGGTCATATACGAAATGTTTCCATGTGTGTGCATCTGTTGGCTGTTGACCACAGCCTGGTGTTATGGAGGTTGCTATTCAAAATACACTTGTAGAAGCAGATGTCATAATATGTGTGCGTGTGTACCTTTTCTTTGGCAAGTCAAAATATAGTCCTGGTAGATTTTTAAAGGAAACAATAGCATTTAATTTTTTTCCCTGAAGTCCACTCATAATGTTAGTCAATTTGTTTGTACCACAAGCTATTGTATTTGTTTTCCATGATAATTTTTCATCCTCTCTTTGACCCTTAGAAATAAACAGGCTGTTTTGCTGCTGTATACAGTAAAATGTTTTGTCAGTTTTTGGACACATTAAATTAATCAAAAGCGACACTAACGACATTTATACTATATTATATTTATATTATATATTTTGTTACGCAGCACAACTGTTTTCAACATTGATAATACGAAATGTTTCTTGACACAGCAAATCAGCATATTAGAATGATTTCTGAAAGATCATGTGACATGAAGACTGAAGTAATGATGCTAAAAATTCAGCATTGCCATCACAGGAATAAATTACATTTTAAAATATGTTCAGATAGAAAACAGCTATTTTAAATTGTAAAAATACTTCACTATTTTTACTGTATTTTTGCCATGGTGAGCATAAGAGACTTCTATCAAAAATATTAAAAAATCTTGCCAACCCCATACTTTTGAACAATAGAGTATGTCTTCATAATGCATCCAGCTGTGCTATTTCAAACAAGCAAATACAATCAATTTTTACATGATATGGCTTTTTAACAGGATTTTTAAACATCTGGACAGTAAGTGCTGCATGCATCAAGGTGCTTTCTAATAGTACCTTCATTACTGGAGTCCAGTATGCTGCGGCTGAAGTCTTGGCCCTGTAGGATTGTCTCGATGATATCATCAGCATCCACTCTGGTAGCATCCACTCGCTTTAGCTGAGACTCAACCGAGTCCTGTTTTACAGGGTGCCTGAAATACAAACATATACAAGACATACAAGACTTCACTAAAAGATTTTTCTACAAACACATTTTGCCGGAAGAGCTGATGCACACACGTTTACCTGTTGGCTGTGATCCCACTGTGGGACGGTGTGGCTAAGTGCTGGGGTAAAGGTGTGCAGGTCTGTGTGCGGGACTCTCTGTCCTCACTGGGCTCTGGTAGGCTGCCAATCCCAGTGGAGACACTGCCCACAGACAAGTTCCTCCTATGAGAGAGCTCCGTCAGGCTGGAGGAGCGCGAATGACCCGTGCTGTAGCCTACAAGAATGTCCAGACTGATCAATATTATATATATGCACATATATAATGCAAAAAGTCATAGAATAAAAAAATAATAAACATTTGGTGTGAATGAACAGACCGGAAAACTTGGACTGTTGGCTGGCGTAACTGGCTGTTCTTGAGTGACCACACTTTCCCAGTTCATCTGGAACAGAACCATGACTGAAGCAACCTTTTCCTAGGTTTTCTAGAAAAAAAATAAATAAATCAGTGGATTGTTACCATCATTGTTAATTTTGGAATTGTTGAAATGCAAATTAAGACTTTACTAGGTTTTTAAGAAAATTAAATATACCAACGTAGTCAAAGGTTTGGAATAATTATTCAATTTTTTTAATATAAATAAATTACAAAATGTTACTTAAATAAATAAATAACATTTTAAAATATTCAGATTGTAATAATATTTCACAATATGACTGTTTTCACTGTATTTTCATGATCAAATAGCAGCTTTCGTGAGCATTAGAGACTTCTTTCAAAAACAAAAAAAGCATATTATTCCAAATTGGCCGGTGTATAGGCAGTGATTTTGTGTGAGGACTGTGGAGGTACCTGTACAGATTTTAGCTGCACTCTGTGTCTCTCCTCTTCTGTCCTCATGTAGACATGTCTCTATTTCTCCTGGAAAACCAATGGTCATTGCAGTGGATGGAGGCCTGGAAGAGTCAAAAATATCTCCATTAAAAACATATAAACATACAAAAACATAACAAATCATCAAAATAAGACAATGTAGCATATACAAAATCACATAATATACTATTCTTAAGTACTAATCTGGCATTTCACTGGTTTAAGTGCCTCTAAAACCGACAGTGACATAAAACTATGACGCAGCAGCCAGAGCTAAAAGCACTCGAGGCGCAGAATGAGCACTCCCACACACACACAAACACTTCTGCAGGACTCACAAACACACACTCACCGGGAAACACCACCAAACACTTTGATTTATGAGTGCGCATGACTATTTTTGACAACCATCCACAGTGAAGCAATGATACAACTCTCACTAGAGCACGATTCACATGTCTGTGACGACAGAAGTGACACACACACACACACCTCTTCATGGAGGTTTATTTGTCACTCATTTCGGTTGCTAATCCACTGTCAGAACACTGTACGTGTTGTTTTAATGGGAGATTGTGTGCCAGCTTGCTTACATAACAGGAAGCACACCTTTCAGTGTTTCTGGGTGCTGTTTGAGATGATTAATATTACGCCCTCTAAATGTCAGAATAAATGTCAACTATTTCAACATGCATGCAAACACATCCACACAATTACTCCAATATACTAGAAACACTAGTGCATCTGAATACAATCAGACCTACATAAAGAGAGAGGGCAGTGAAAAAAAAAACACATGAATTTTTCTTCACAAAAATCCCTGTAAATAAATGTTTTAATGCTAATTATTGATCAGAAATGTGATTTTTTTTCTTCCTATTTTCCTATCTTCCTATTTTCAGTGTTGAATAATGTAACATTTTTCATTATTGTGCTACTTATCATTCTGAAGACACCATTCCAATATGCTGATTTTCTGCTCAAGAAACATTTATTATTTTTAGTGTTAAAAACAAATGTGCTGCTTAATATTTTTAATATTAACCGTGATGCATCTTATTGAGGATTCTGTAGTCTTTACTGTCACTTTTGATCAACTGAATTGAATTAAAGTATAATTTATTTTGAACAAAAATCTTACTGCTTACTTTAGAATGGTTGAGTAAACATGTCACCTCAACTAATAATCAGAGGTTTCAAGCTGCAGACACCTCGGTGTAAAAAAAAAAAAAACCACTCTGTGTCTGACTGTCAACTCTGTTTAACTAAACATCACCAAGAAGTGGTTGAACCAGACTTCCTGTGTTCATGCAGTCCTAGACATTGGTGTCAGAAAAACACTGGCACAAGCACTCTGGCACAGCCGCATAGACACCCAAACTAATACAAAAGTGAAAGTGACATAACATGTGGCCAAGTATGGTGACCCATATTTGGAATTAGTGCTCCGCATTTAACCCATCCAAAGTGCACACACACAGCAATGAACACACACAAACGCCGTGAACACACACCCGGAGCAGTGGGCAGCCATTTTTTTGCTGTGGCGCCCGGGGAGCAGTTGGGGGTTCGGTGCCTTGCTCAAGGGCACCTCAGTCGTGGTATTGAAGGTGGGAGAGAGCGCTGTACATTCACTCCCGGTGCCTTGCTCAAGGGCACCTCAGTCGTGGTATTGAAGGTGGGAGACAGCGCTGTACATTCACTCCTTTGGGTTACGAGTCCGACTCTCTAACCATTAGGCCACGACTTCCCCAAGTTATTACAAAGGCATCACGGCAGCTGCATCTGCTATTGTCGCACAGTTTCAAGGTCATTTTGAGCTGCTGGGTTACTCAGTGTTGAGCCAGCTCGACCAGCGTGGTCTTTCTGTATCACTTGTTAAGCTTAAATAAACTAGGCTGTCCCATGCTGAAGACCAGCATCCAAAACATATGCTGGTCTTTTCAGAAGGATGCAGATTTTAGATATGAATATGAAATTCAAACTTTTCAAAATCTATTAAAAATTAAGGGACAACTTACTTTTTAAAGCAAGGATCACCTGACATTAGCTGCATACTGATGATCACCTAGAGAAAGAGAGAGAGGTGGTGAGTGGTTACATAAACATACAGTATGAGATATAGCAGACTGTATATTTAATTAATACCCCTGAAAACATTAAATACATCAGATACTGGAGAATTGTGTGGTAAATTGTATTTTGCTGAAGGATATTATCAAGGCTTTAAAAATTTGATTGACTGAGCCACTGTAAGATTTGAGGCTACTGTAATAACAGCCCATAAATGCACAATATACACATAAATTAATCAATTAACATAAATATATTGTATAAGGTTGACACTGTTTTCTACAATTTTATGACATATACACATTATTATTTTGTTTAAAGTTATTATGTCAAGTGTCTCATAAAGCAGAACTAATTTTTATTTGTTGTTTACTTCTTTTTTTTAAAACTTAAAATATGATTTAAAAATGAAAAAAGTTGGATTCATATTTTGAACATATCATACTGAATATATTCTTATTGTGAAATAATAATGATTATTATTATTATTATTAATATTACATATGATGTGAGTACCATTGTTGAGTGTTTTTGGTGCCATTTATCAGCAAACATAATATTAAAGAATCTAAAAAGTTTACTTATACTACTATGTTTAATAGTCTCAAAAAGAAGAACCAATTTGTAATTATTGTCACTTCTGATTTTCAACTCAATGACAACTTAAAATATAGTTTTAAGAATAAAAACACAGCATAATATGCATTTTATTATTATTAATATTAATAATAATAATGTCATTAACAATGCTTTTTTTCATAATATTTATTTACTATTAATAATAATAATATTCTTAACAATTAATAATTAATAATATTCACTTTACTTGTGATAACCATTTTCTTAACAATTTATAAATAATAATAATCACTTTACTTGTGATAACCATTGTTGGGTGTTATTTTTTTAAGGGCCCAATTATCAGCAAACCCAATATTAAAGAATCAAATAGAAAAGTGTGAATATTGCACAAAAACAAAAGAGTCCCGTATATAGTGTAAAATAACTGTAATGCATCACATTTCTTGTTTCTATAATAAACTTACAAATATGGCATCACGTGTGTGTCCAAATGTTAATGGACTGTAGTGATGCCAGCTAAAATGGTCTGGTCATGTGTGTGGCTCTACAGCTATAAATGTGCAGGCCTGTGGAATTTTGGGTGCTCTGCGATCAGCTCCAGGCGGAGGTGGAAGGATACAGGCCTGTGGAATTCTGGGGGGGCTGTGA